TTATTATATCTTGAAAAAGAATAATAAATAAAAGTAGAGTCATCGATTGTAATAATTGCATGAATTGAATTAACTATCACAAGTTGATGATCGAAATTAAGAATTCATCAGTGGAGTCGAAAATCCAATACGCTCGTCACATTTAATTTAAACCAGTGTTTATTGCTTTCGTAATTATAAAACGTAGTTAGATACAAATCAATCATATTTTGATACAATCACGAATTAAAATATATCAAATACATTAAAATTGGGTCTTATTCCCCGTGGGACATAACTCTATCATCACAATTATTGTTTGTACAACGAACCCGTACGCTTGCGAGATTTTAACGTAACAATTGCCTTTCTCGATGGGGAGATAAATGAAACAATCAACATGGGGCGACATAAGGATTTTGAAGTTTTATGGATGCCAATTTTGCATGAGATAGGGATAAAAGAGGATCAACCACTTTATTCATGTTGACTTTGACTAACTTCTATACAAGATGAAATCTCAATTTCAAGCTACAATTGCACTCTCTAGCACTGAGGTTGAATAAATAAAAATAAATGCTATAAAGGGATCAGAATGGTCGCAAGGACCTTTGCAAGAGTTGAAGTTCCTGGACAACAGGGTTCTTTTACATATTGACAGCCAAACTTCCTTGCACTTGTGTAAGAATTCAGTATATCATGAGAGATCTAAGCATTTAGGAGTTAAGTATATTTAGTAAGAGGAAATATTTCAAGAAGATCGGTAGAAATGGTGAAACTATCCACCGAGGATATCAGATTTTGGGACTAAAGTTCTTCCTATGTCCAAGTTCAAGCATTGTCTTGAACTGCTCAAATACCAAAGATGGTCTAACAGGAAAAAAAAATAAAAAAAAGAAGCTAAGATTGGTGGAAGTTACTGCATTGTGTTCAAACTCATTGTTGAGAAGCAAAGGTAGAGTTTGTGCAAATGCTGCTTCAAAATCACAAGTAAAGGGAGTACAGTATCTCACTTATAAGGTTATACGTGACCTTCACGATTTTATCAGTACTAGGAGTGGTGACTTCATTTTATGTTCAAGGCAGAATCATTGTGACCCGTTCATTAAAGATCACATGTGGTTGCAGTTCATCTTCTGGAAATTTCTTTATCTTATGTTTTCGTAATTACTACACAACAGAAATTGTTTCTGAGTCGCTCATTCTTTAGCCACTATTTTTTTCAGTTCTAGCGTGTAGAAGGAAGGCTTGGTGTTTTCAATTCTTGATTCTTCTGTCTTTTACTTTGTGTTCTAAGTGGCTAGGACTCAGTTGTTAAAAGTTTTTACTGAATTTTATTTTACATAGTGCAAGAGAGCTTCACCCGAGGTCCAGCAGACACAGGTGTTTGTTATTTCCTGTGTTCTTGAACTGTTACTTAAAGTGCATGAAAGAGATTTAAGAAATTCATATCAATTGGCTTCCTCTGCCTAAGTTGGGTTCAATAATATGGCAGAATACCAACGTAAACCAGATGAAATCATAATATAGTGACACATATATAGCCTTTTTACATCAACAATATAACAAGAAGAATATATGCATATAATTATTGTACTGCAATAGGTATATCTAGAGTTAAATGATTCATTAGTCAGAGAACTTGTACCCCCGTCATGCTTTACTCACTGATTTTTAAAATGTTTTCGAGTGGTCATTGAATTTTAACACATTGTATACCATTACTCACTCACCATGTTTTATTAGTCACTGAACTTTTAAAATGCTCTTGAGTGATTACTAAAATTTAACATATTACATTCCATCATTCACTCACCATGTTCCATTAGTCACTGAACTTATACTTCCATCACGCTTTATTTACTATACTTTAAAATGCTTCCGAGTAGTCACTAAATTCAACTTTTCAAAAATTGAAAATTTACGCGAAGACGGTACCATTCTTTTCTGTTGAATTAACTTGTGACAACTCTAAAAATTATATCTTGTTAGTCTTGATTAATATTATTGACTCTAAATTGAAAATTTGAGATATAATTTTTAATGATCTTGATTTGAGTCTTTGCTTATAATCGAAATAAAGAAATAATTTCTCTAATTTATTTTCTCAACATAAAGAAAGATTATCATCTAAATTAAGATTTATGTCAATCTGAATCGAGCATTCTTTTATCTCATTGAACATAGCTTTTGAAGACTACAGAAATTATATCTTCTTGATTAATATCAATATTTCCGTCTTAGATTGGGACTCTCGTTATCTGATATTTTTTTATTTTTTACTTAGATCGAATTTAATAGAAAATTGACTTTACTTAGAAACATTATGAAGTTCAGTGACCACTTGAAAGAATTATAAAATTCAGTATTGGTGGAGGAGTGATAGGGGCCATGTGTTAAACTTCGTTGGCCGAGAAGTATTTTAAAGTTTGGTGACTTATGAAACATGAATGACCGATGGAGTGCAATGTGTTGAAGTTTAGCGTACTCGGATACATTTTAAGATATAAGTTCAGTGACAGGTGAAACATTCAACTCGGTATGTCTATGAAGAAAAAAGAAATAACGAAACAATTTAAACTGAAATATAGTGTATTCTTAAAATTAATTCAATATACCTCATAATCAAGGGTGCAGTCAAGTCCAATGAGGGATTGAACATCCCTGACTTCATCATCGACAGTGTTAGAACTACGATGTTTCGTCTCTCCATCAATTTCACACTCTTCTTCACAGTCACTCAGCACCTGAAGATCCGATTCCAGGTGGGCCCCAACATCGGTTTCGGGTTTTTCCGGCTGGTAATCGGAGCCGGAGGGTCCAGATTCTTCATATTCATCTTCTTCTGCTTCTACTTCTTCTTCTTTGTTCCGATTCCATTCTTGTTTTTTGATTTCGTCGTCTGTGAGGCACCACAATGAAGGGCTTACGCTCAAAGACGACGCTGAATTGCCTAGCGACCCGAATACTTTATCTATGCGAACTTTGAAGCTATCTTCCATGGCTATTTCACCCTGCTCTCCACATTTATGCTTTTATATACGCGACTGAAAATGGAAGGCGGAGGTGCTCGATAATTCGCAAGGGAAAATAGCAGCTAGGATCTCCAACTTTTGAAAAAATTGCATTTTAGGTAATCAACTATTAGTACCACTTAATTTTTTAGCAACAATTTTAATTTATCTCTAGATTGGTTTCTTAGCTTTAGTTTATTTTAAGAGGAAATTACATCAAACTAGAATTTTTAAGATGCAATTTCAAAAATCAGATATAAAGTTTATTTATACAAAAATCAAATATTAATTTAAATATTTAATATTATTAATTACCCCAAAATTCATCTCAATCCCTAATTATTCTCTCCTCATCTCTCTCTCTCTCTCTCTCTCTCTCTCTCTCTCATCTCGTTTCTCTCTCTACTTGTTACTGTGTCGATCTGTTCCTCTCCTAAAAACTCCATCGTCGCTGTCGCCGGTGTGAAGCGCCACCCCCGTCGTCGCGACAGTAAATACTTGATGATGGTGCGACACCACCACCGTCGTCAAGACGCCGCTCGATGTCCTAATCATTTTCATCCTCTCCATTTTCTCTTTTCTCTCTATATCCTACATTCTCTCTTCTCTCTAGTCGTCCCTCGCCGCCGCCACCTTTCCATCACCACCACCTCGCCGCACCACATTCAACCACCTCACCACACCCACAAAAAAATTCCCAAACCCGTAGCCGCAACCGACTCCTCTGTCAACGCCTTCATCACCACAAATTTACCATCTCCACCTCAATCATCAACACCACACCAAACAAATCAAGAGAAACAGAGGGAATAGGGAATAGAGAAATAGATTGTTGTGCACCTTCTACAACGCAGTAACTCACAGCATCGAAGATGCCGGGATCTGGGGAAATGCAAGGATCTACTGTAGACACGAACGACATGATTTGGGAAAATTTGTGTTGGGCTGTGCGTAGCGACAGTGTAGTAACATCGTGAGGTGGTGGCAACTTTCGTGACGTTGTGGTAATGTTGATATTTTTTGGGTCTAATTTGTTGGTTTTTTTGGG